TCTCTGAAGCAAACTGTTTTCTGGGGCATCTCCAGAGCTGGCCTGCACAGAGGGTTGTCCGGAGAGTGCGCCTCTCCCTCTCCTGCCTTCTCTACGGCAGCCTGCTGGCCAGGGAGGGAGGGCCAGAAGGGAATGTTGCTGAGTCCTGGGGATTCCTCAGGACCAGAAAAGGAGAGGTTCTCCAGAAGGTTCCAGGTGAGTGCCCCTGTAGGACCATCTTACTTTTCTTTTTTCTTTTTTTTTTTAAAGATTTTATTTATTTATTTGAGAGAGAGAGAATGAGAGATAGCACGAGAGGGAAGAGGGTCAGAGGGAGAAGCAGACTCCCCGCTGAGCAGGGAGCCCGATGCGGGACTCGATCCCAGGACTCCAGGATCATGACCTGAGCTGAAGGCAGTCGCTTAACCAACTGAGCCACCCGGGTGCCCCTCCTTTTTTTTTTTCTTAAGTAGGCTCCACACTGGGCGTGGAGCCCAACACGGGGCTTGAACTCATGACCCTGAGATCAAGACCTGAGCTGAGATCAAGAATCGGCCACTTAACCAACTGAGCCACCCAGGCACCCCTGAGACCATCTTTTCTGAAGTTGGGGGTGGGGGAGCAGGGTCCTTTTGCCTCAGTGACCGGGAAGCCTGAGGATAGAACATGGGGGCTAATTATATGGGTTTTGTCATTTTTTTCTGTTGGAGGCAGGGGTATGGGTTAGGTTGGGGGCGTGGTGCTGAGCCTACTGAGGAGGAGAAGGATGTGGGACTTGACCCCAGTCAGCTGTGCTGGGAAGCCAAGGGGCCTGCTGCAGCCTGCCTCTCTGCCTGGGGACATTCAGGGAAGGTCCTCAGAAGGGAGGGCCGATAACCTGGGGAGCTGTGGGCAGAGGAAGGGTGTGGATTGTGTTTAAATATAGAGAGAGTTAAAAAAGAAACATTCCTCTCCTGTCATGACCCCCCCCCCCCGCCCCCGCCCCTGCCAGACAGATTTGTGTCTGAGCCACTTCTTGGGTCCATCAAAAAGAAAGGCTTGGGGGACCTTCACAGGTGTGGGACTGGAGATACCGAGTTTTCTAGAAGACTGATTCACTGATTGATGATTGAACTGACTCATGTTGAGAGATGGAAGAGGTCATGGCTGGGGGAGACTTCGGGAAAACTGGAAACTGGGTGCGGTAGGAGGAGGTAGGCGTGTGCATCTGGCTTGGGAGCTAGGCCGCTCTCTGCCTGTCTCCTTTAGGCTCCCACTTCCCAGCCAGACTGTGTCTTCCGGATGAGTTTTGAAGACCCTGAGTTCTAATCTTGGCTTTAAGGGGAACCTTGCAATTTGGGGGATACTAGTGGAGAGGAAGGAAAGGTTGCCTCTGGCCTGGGACATGTGGGCAGGTACTAGTGCTTTTCTCTTTGGGAGTCTGAAGTACACACACAGTAATGGTTGGGCTTAGGCTTTTAGGACCAGAATGCACTCAAATTGAGTGCGATGGTCCTACCAACAGCCCCAGTGGACTCTGCCTTGTTGCTCTCACTGCCCCACATGCTTGTCATCCTCCCTTTTTGGGTCTTTGCATTCTTTTCCAGCAAGCCTGTCCTAGAGAGCCGTGTGGTCCTGGGTCTCCTGGTCCCTGCAGATCTTGTCTCATGCAAGGAATTATAGTCAGATCTTGGTGACCTCATGCTTTTTCCCTTTTCCATGACCTGCGATCCTTTGACCTGGAATCTGTATTTTACCATGTTCCAACAGGAGGGTGAATGGCCAGAGGTCACAGAGTAGCAGGTCTAGAAATAGCTGTAAGGAATCTTCACTTTCATTCTTTTACCTCCACGGCTTTTGTAGGGTAAATGAAGTATCATGTTAAAAGCTATGATCTTTCAAGACTTAGTAAGTTCCCCACAGCTTAGGCTGAGGCAGAGCCATAGCATCCAGGCCTGTGACTAATCGTTTGCCTGTGGCCCCGGCTTGTATGAAATCCATTAGGGAGACCGCAGGCAGGGGCAGGGCGGCAGGAACACTGAGCCTGTGTGCCCGAGTACACGTCCAGGCTCCACCACATGCTACTTCTGTGGCCTCAGGTTTCTGTGCCTGTAAAATGGGGGTAGCAGTGGGACTAAGTTCATAGAGCTGTTAGGAGATGAAAGCGGCGTGCTGTGCCATAGCACTTAGAACGCTTCAGCGCTCGGCTGGTATGCCTCGTCTCAGCCCGGGGGCCTGCTGGGCATGGCACTACTTGGACAATGTGAGCTTGCTTTGCGGGGAGACGGCTGCGTTCCACCAGAGGAGAGTTCTCCAAGGAGAAAAGATGCTTTCCTTTTTTTTCTGGGTTCATAGGGCAATGGGGTCCCCAAAGAGTGACCCTCAGAAGGCCCCCCTGAGAGTGTGGGGGGGTGAAGGGGGGCGGTGGCTAATCTTACTTTAAAACTGACCTGGCCAGCTGTGAAATCCATCTGGGACCTGGGCCTTTGCCATTTAGCATCCCCGTGGGGGCTGACTGACCCCAGGTTTGATCTGGGAAAGGTCTTAGGTCGTAAGTTTCTGCCCCATTGTCCCAGCTGCGACTGACAGTGGGGGTGGGGGGGCCCTGACTGCAGCAGGGTTTAAAGGACACCGGAGTCCCATAGGGCTGGGGGTTAAGGACTGGGGTGGAGTTTGGATCATTTTCTTTGTGCGGAAATGACACAGTGTTACCCTGTGGGCTGGTTCTGTAGAAAGGCCCAGCTGGTTAATTGAATTGAATTGAATTTTTTTTTTTTACTTATTTTAAGATTTTATTTATTTATTTGACACAGAGAGCACAAGCAGGGGGAGCAACAGAGGCAGAGGGAGAAGCAGGGTCCCTGCTAAGCAGGGAGCCCACCACGGGACTTGATCCCAGGACCCTGGGATCATGACCTGAGCCAAAGGCAGATGCCCAACTGACTGAGCCACCCAGGCACCCCATCAGCTGGTTAATTTTAAAGGCTCTTTTGAGGAGGGAGGAAAAAGTAATAGTGCTGCATTTCCCAAGGGGCTCTCCTCTGAGATGCTCAGAGTTTCACCAAGATGAGCCTGTTAATTCTCCTTTGTTGCACCCGGAGGGGAGGGAGAAGGCAGGCATGGCTTTAGCGCTGCTGCTGTGTCCTTATCTGCAAAATGAGAGGCTCCTGTAGATCAGTAGGGAGGTGACACCCCTCCCTCTGCCCAAGCTGAGACCTGCAGTGGCAGGGTGCTGAGCTGGAGAGGGTCCTTGCTGGGCTCTCGACTGTTAGCTCAGTAGACGCACCAGTTTGTTCACCATCATCCATTTGCCAGATCACCTTTAAGGCCCCTGAGCCTGGGTCGCTTACAGTCTAGGGCAGGGAATCTCAAACTAGTCACAGTCACACAGGGAGTGGTAGGGGTAATCCTGGGGTGCTGTAAGAGTATGCAGAAGGGGGCATCCAGGTTTGTTTTGGGGGTAGGTTTCTAGAAGGGGGCTGGCTTCTTATCTGAAACCTGAGGATTGGGTATAAGTGGCGGGTTGGGGGGTGGTATGGCTTGGGATAGACAGGGTTGGGAGTGGGGTATGCAGGGACTCGGGAGTAATGTCCAGGCAGAGAGAACATTTGCAAAAGCCAGAGCCCAGGGCCCAGGGGTGCTGGCACAGCAGGGGCACAGAAAAGCAGGGGGGAAATTCAGGGTTACTGGAGTGATGGCACCTAGATCCTTCTTGTAGCTCTAGCCTGTGGTCTAGTAATTTCCTAGCCCTAGAACTAGGGGTGGAAGGCTTTGGGGCAGTGAAAGTGAGGGTGATGCTCTGGAACTTTGTTCCTTGTGCAAACAGCAATGAAATACACATTCTGGAAAGTGGTGTTGGTGAGCTGTGGTCTGCTGGGGTTGGGGTAAAGTGTCCCTGTCCTTCCCAAGAGGGCTTAGCCCCTCCCAGACTTACTGCTCCAGGTTGTTCCAGGTGGGTCTACCTGTGAACAGCACCACCTGCTCAGGGACTAAAGTCCACCTGATGCTGCGTTTGCCTTACCTGGGAGCAGTTTCCTGTCTGCTGGGCTGCCTGACCTTGCTGTGCTAAAGGGAGTTTAGAGAGACTCATCGGTGGCTCAGCCCTGGGACATTTCCTGTGCTCTGGGAGCTGGGGTGAGTCAGGGCCTGTACCAGGTGCTGGGGGTTGGGGAGCCTTTGTACCCTCTCCTCTGCCTCCCCTGTCAGTATCTAGAAGGCTTCACGTTCATGGTGCAATGGCTGGTGCCCCCAGAGATGTCCTAATCCTGAGGAGAATCTTACCCTCTGGCATGTATGTGTGTCATCTTAGATCATAAGAGCAAGAGATTCAGCTGTCCTTGCTGGTGACCCCAGCACAGGCCCCAACAAGTGGGCACTTGGGAAGTGCTTTTTGACAATTGTTGTTATTATCACTGTTTCGACGGCTTATGGAGCCCTTGCCCCGTGCCAGGCACCATGCTCAGACCTGTTGCTGCAGCAGGTCGCTGCATCCTCAAGGACACAGCCCTGGGGTACGTTCTGAGAGGCTGGGTGCTTTGCCGGAGCCACGGGGCTGGGCTTGGGGTTCTGTCCGAAGGCAGCCCGACTGCTGCTCTGGCGGAGATGTCCTCTCTGCTCTCCTGGGGCTCGGTTTTCTGAGCCCTTTATTGTCCTTGGATGCAGTCACCCTTTCCTCCTGGGAATGCTGGAGCTGTTGGGATTCAGGAAGGGATGTTACTTGGGCATCCTTGTGCATACTTGTGGAGTCTGAGGGAAGGGACCTTCTCGACATTCAGAGTTGTGTTTAAAACTGTGGTGAAATACACAAACGTACAATTTCCATTTTAACCCTTTTTGAGTGTATGGTGGTTCAGTGGCATTACGTACATTCTCATTGTTCCTCCTCTATCACCACCATCCATCCCCAGGACTTCTCTTCTCTTGCAAAATGGGAACTCAGTACCCATTATATACTAACTCCCCATTCCCTCCTCCCCCAGCAGCCTTTTACTTTCTGTTTCTGTGAGGATTCTGAGATTTAATTCTTTGTCCGCCCCACCCAGAACCTCCCTGGAGTGCCCTCGCCAGGCAGCGATGCCAGGATGCCCGTCTCTGCCTCCCTCCGCCAGGATGGCGGCCAGGAGCGGCCAGTGAGCCTGACCTCGACCACGTCCTCGTCGGGTTCCTCCCGTGACAGCCGCGGTGCCATGGAGGAGCCCAGTGGCTCCGAGGCTTCCGCCAAGAACGGGGCGGGCTCCCCGGGTAGTAGGAGGCGTCCCCCCAACGGCAGCAGCAGCTCCAGCGGCTGGCTGAGCGTGAGGGGGCCGCTGTCCCCATTCGGCGGCCGGGCCCCGGCAGCCCCGGCGCACAAGCTCAGCTACCTGGGCCGAGTGGTGCGGGAGATCGTGGAGACGGAGCGGATGTACGTGCAGGACCTGCGCAGCATCGTGGAGGTGAGGCCCGCTGCCCGAGCGGCTGCCGTGCTGAGGCCGTGGTGGGGCTGGCCTCCGGCTCCGGGTGGCCCAGCCCACTTGTAAACCCACTGCCACCGCTGGAGGGAAAGTTCTCCCTGACAGCTTGTGTCAGAAGCAGACTGCTTCCCATGGAGCAGTGGGGAGGCCTCATGTCTCCTGCTCTTGGGGGAGTCTCAGGCTGCTCCTGCTGCCTCACTTTGGGCCAGCAGAACCTCCTGCAGACCCTCAGGGCATGGGCACGGTTGGTGGGGACGGGCAGGGACCGCTGTGCTCACAGACATGGAACACAGTGGGGAAACTGACCTGGATGTTGCCTGACTGTGCCCAGATCCCTGCTCTGCTGTTTCCTGGCTATGGGGACTTGGGCTTCTGCGTAAGCCCCTGAGCCTCAGGTTCCTCCTCTGTGAGATGAAGAGCCCCCCCACCCCGCCTCCGCAGGACCAGTGCGACGTGTTTCGCCCCGCGGGGCCCCTGGGCAGGTTGCTGGGTGGCTGCCACTGAGGATACCCTGTTCGTGGTGGAGAGAGACATATTTGTTTCTTGGAGCCGCTGTAACAAATCACCACAAGCTGGGGGCTAAAATGCAGAAGTTTCTTCTATGTTGGTTTAGGAAGCCAGAAGTCAGAAATCAAGATATTGGCAGGATTGGGTCCTTCTGGAAGGTCTGAGGGGGAGAATGCGTTCCATGCCTCCCTCCCGGCTTCTGCCAGGTGGTTGCTGCTTGGATTTCCTTGGCCTGTAGATGTTCTGTCCTGACCTCTGCCTCCATCTTCCCATTGCCACCTTCTGTGTGTCACTCTGTGTCCTTTCCTCTTATAAGGACACCTGTCATGGGATTTAGGGCCCACCCTAAAGCCAGTATGCTGTTGTCCTGAGATCCTTGACTGATGACATCTGCAAAGACCCTATTTCCAAATTAGGTCACCTTCCGAGGTTCTGAATGGATGTTGATTTTTGACCGGGGGGTGGGGGGTGGGGGTGGGGTCAGGGGGGAGGAGAGCTCTCCAGCCCAGTACAATAGGCGATGTCTGTGAGGTTACATTGTCATTGTAAATGACATTGTAAATGCAGGACAGAACTGAGGTGTTCTGGGGGAAGTGGGGGAACAGGACTGCACTAGCAGGGGCTGGGTTCTGATGCCTCCCTCCACACAGGACTACCTCTTGAAGATCATCGACACGCCTGGGCTGCTGAAACCAGAACAAGTCAGCGCCCTCTTTGGGAACATAGAAAACATCTATGCACTGAACAGGTATGGAACGGGCCTAACACATACCGTGTTCTGCCTGTGAGGCCCATCTCGGGGCCTAAGGAGGAGCCCTGGATGTCCCTAGTCTCTTGGGTTGTGATATGTGGGCTTGGGGCCTGATCGCTGAGGGTTGGTAATGGTGGTCCATCCCTGTTCAGTGGAATAGTTCCCTGTAGTAGAGAGGGGGATGTAGGACCATGTGCCCTGGGGCTAATGTGCTACATCGTTTGAGGCCATGTGCATGTTGGGTCCAGCCTGGGCCAGCGCCCCCTCGGGGACCTGCTGGCCCCTGGCATGTCATGCTCTTCCCCCTGTACCTGTGTGGCCCCTCTGTCTCTCCCATCATCACTGCCCACTTGCACATCTCTTTATTTCTTCTTCACCTTCCCACAGATCCCATGGGAAGTCAAGTCTCCCTGGGGGTAATCTGACCCATTAGGAGAATGACAGGCCAGGCAGAATGTGATGGGGGAGGCTGAGCAAAGCCTGGTGAGGGGCTGCTTCAGGGCACAGGGGCTCCTCGAGGATCTGGTGTGTTGCTGCCTGGGCCCACAGATTCCCCAGGGAAGGGACACTGGTTGGGAGGGGCAGTGCCTGAGGGGACAGCGTCGGTAGTAGGAGGAGCCTTACCCTGGGCCCTTTAACGTGGGCCAGAGGGGCTTCCTGCTGGGCCAGCTGCAGAAGTCCGGGAGAACAGGTGCAGGGTGACTTGGGCTGGCGGGTGGTGGGGTTGGGAAAAGAGGTGCACAGGAGGAGGTGTCCGGGGAACATTGTGTTTAAGGTTTCCCATAGCGCCCCATCTAAGTTCTGGGAGTACTGGGACTCACCCTGTTTCTCTCCCTTTCCTGCATCCTTTTGAATTGGGGGCCTTTCGTTCCTTTGGGAGTCCCCTCTCTCTCTTCTTCTCCCTTTAATCTCTGCCTTTGTGTGTTTGACTCCTTCTGCCTGCAGAGGAGCTGTCTCCCCTCCCAAGGTGGGTACTGGTGTCCCCCGTCTCTCTCCTGCTTGCTGAGCATGTGGGTGTTCTTTGCTCCCCGTCTTTGCGGCAGTGCTGGGTACTCTCTTTGGTTGCTGGCCTGGGCGGGGCTCACTCTGAGGATGGACGCCCCGACTCTTTGGCATGACACCCGGGGCTGGCTGTGTATCTGGGCACCAGGAGGCTGGGGAGGGGGCGTGTTGGTAGCTGTGGAGGCTGTGTGCTGTCTGGGGTCTGATGACCACTCTCCCCTCCCCCAGCCAGCTACTCCGAGACCTGGACAGCTGCAATGGTGATCCCGTGGCTGTGGCCAGCTGCTTCGTGGAAAGGGTAAGAGGGACTGCTGGGTCCTTGCCTCTTGTCCCGCCTTGCTGGGGGCTCCGAGGCACAGGAGTGCCCAGCTTAAGAGGGTGTGTGAGTCCTGGAGGCCTCTGTCCAGGGGAAGGGCCTGGTGCCCTGTCTTGTGGGAAGGGCATTCTGGGGTAGAGCCAGGGGCCGCTGGGTGGATGGGATGTCCCAGATAGATGGGTCCAAAGATGGATCTGCAGGTGTTCAGGGAAAGGAGGGCCGAGTGTTCTCTGGGGGGTCAGGGCCATGTCTTTGGTATACCCAAGTTTAGAGTTAAATGGGAGTCTCCCAGAAATCACCATCTTTGTTTGGTCTCCTCTTAGAGTCAAGAGTTTGATATCTACACTCAGTATTGCAACAACTACCCCAAGTGAGTATTGGTGTGGAGGGGGAGACAGAGTTATTTTGTGGGCCTGGAGCACCCCACATCCCTATGTAGGCCTTCCCAGGTGGTGATGGCCCCTTCTCCCCCACCCCCAGCTCAGTGGCCGCCCTGACCGAGTGCATGCGGGATAAGCAACAGGCCAAGTTCTTTCGGGACCGGCAGGAGCTACTACAGCACTCTCTGCCCTTGGGCTCCTACTTGCTGAAGCCTGTGCAGCGCATCCTCAAGTACCACCTGCTGCTCCAGGTAGTCCAGTGGTCTTCCTGAGGAGGTGGGGGGCCAGGGGAGGGGCAGGGCTGAGTCCGGGCTGCCTACGCGCCTGTTTCCCACACAGGAAATTGCCAAACATTTTGATGAAGAAGAGGATGGCTTCGAGGTGGTGGAAGATGCCATTGACACCATGACCTGTGTGGCCTGGTACATCAACGACATGAAGAGGAGACACGAGCATGCAGTCCGGCTCCAGGTGCTCCAGGGCTGGTTGCTGGAGGGACAGGGCCGGCTGGTGGGTGGGGTGCGGCCACCCTGCTGTGGGGAGCCGAGGGTGGGTTTCCCTGCAGGGTGGCCTTCTCTGGGGGGGCCCTTGTGGCAGCGTGTGTCTGATGGATGCGGGTGGTGTCTGTGTCTGTAGGAGTTTCTGGGGTTCCGTGTCATCCCCAGAGGGTCACGAGCAGCCTGACTCTGGGGGTCGGGGCTTCTCTGCTGTAGGAGATTCAGTCGCTGCTCATCAACTGGAAGGGGCCGGACCTGACCATCTACGGGGAGCTCGTCCTGGAGGGCACGTTCCGTGTGCACCGCGTGCGCAATGAGAGGACCTTCTTCCTCTTTGACAAAGCGCTGCTCATCACCAAGAAGCGAGGCGATCACTTTGTCTACAAGGGCCATATCCCGGTAGCCAGGCTGCTGTCATGGCCTCTGCCCTCTTCCCCCCTTGCAGTGGGCCAGGCTTCATTCTTTCTTTTTTTTTTTTAAGATTTGATTATTTATTTATTTATTTATTTTTAAGATTTTATTTGTTTGACAGAGAGAGACACAGCGAGAGAGGGAACACAAGCAGGGGGAGTGGGGGAGGGAGAAGCAGGCTTCCCGCCGAGCAGGGAGCCCGATGTGGGGCTCGATACCAGGACCCTGGGATCATGACCTGAGCCCAAGGCAGATGCTCAACAACTGAGCCACCCAGGCGCCCCTAAAAATTTTATTTTTAAGTAATCTCTTCACCCAATGTGGGGCTCAAACTTAACAGCCCCGAGATCAAGAGTCTCGGGCTCTAACGTCCGAGCCTAGCAGGCGCCCCCAGGCTCCATTTCTTGACCTCTTTGTAGGCCCTGGGTTGGGGTGAATCCAGCTCCATCCTTCTGAGATTACTCTCCCTGTCTCCCCGGATGGTCTTGAGGGGCTGGGGCCCCAGTTCAACCCCCCCACCCCCACCCCTTCGTGTGCTTGACTGCGCTCTCCCTCTGCCCCAGGGCTCCTCCCTGATGCTGATCGAAAGCACCAGAGACTCCCTGTGCTTCACCGTTACCCACTACAAGCATGGCAAGCAGCAGTACAGTATTCAGGTGAGGGCGGGCCGGGAACACGGCCGCCGCCTCGGCTCACTCAGCTGAGCTGGGCCTCATAGTCTCCCTCTGCAAGGTAGGGATTCCTGTGGGTGTGTCTCGGGTTTGTGTTGAGGAGCTCAGGTAACCTCACAGAGGCACCCTGGCAGGGCAGAGGCACCGGACATGGCCCAAGGCTGACGGCTTCCGGCCTGTGGTAATAACCCTGGTTCCCTCTCCCTTCGGTCCTTCCAGGCCAAAACAGCGGAGGAGAAACGGAGCTGGACTCACCACATCAAGAGGCTCATCCTGGAGAACCACCACACCACTATCCCCCAGAAGGTGAGTTCCCGGGGTGCCCCACCTGCCCCGTGACCGGGTGCAGGGAGAGGGTGTCCCTCAGCCAGCTCCAGGGGCCCACCAGTGCCTTACTGCTGGACGTCGGCTTCACTCGAGGCGGGGGTCAGTGCAGTAGGCGCCGTGGGCTTCAGCACGGCACCACGGGGTGTGGGGTGTTCCAGTGCAGCAAGAGCAAGTCGGTGGGCCAAGAGAGGTGCGTGCACAGCAACGTGGTAATTGTGTGCGTTTCCTTCCCTTCCAGGCCAAGGAAGCCATCTTGGAAATGGACTCCTACTGTAAGTGCACTCTTTCCGCCTGCTTTCTCCCTGACTGGCCACATCTCTAGATCCTTGGGAAGCTCTGCCTGGTACTTCTATTCCAGGGAGCAGGGAGAATGGGGACGCTCCTTCTGTCAAGGGCTGGGGGTCTACTGCAGGATCCAGGGTGTGGTCCTGCTGGCAGGTGGGACCCCCCACTGCCTAACATTTCTGGATGGAAGCTGGAAGAGGAGGGAGCTCTGGAGGCTTCTGGCCCCTGGAGCTGGGGCAGGCAGCAGAGGTGGGGTCAGGGATGGTCAGAGTCCAGGCCCAGGCTGATTGTCAATCTTGTGGGCAGATCCCAGTCGGTACCGCTGCAGCCCAGAGCGCCTGAAGAAGGCTTGGTCCTCCCAGGATGAGGTGTCCATGCATGCGCGCCAGGGGCGCCGGCAGTCTGGTAAGGGAAGGGCTGTGTGGGCAGAGGCTTCCTCACAGGACTCTTGACCAGGACGGGGACTATCTGCAGCAGCATTTGGGGCTGGCTCTCCCCTCCGCGGACATCCCAGGAAAGGGCAGGAGGGAGGGTCGCCGGGCACATGTGGCGCGTCCTGTACCCGTGCTTCTGCTACCCTCCCAGGCACCTTCGTTCGGGCCCTTCTTGCCCACCAGGGCTGAGCAGCCCACCTTTTCCAGGGCCCTGAGAATGCTTGTTCACTCAGGCCTCCGTGCTCCTTCTTAGCTTTCCTGTGACCAAAACCTTGCTCCTTTGCCTCTCAGAATCCTGGGACTCAGCCAGGAGCAACGCTCAGACGTCATGGGTGATCCCCAGCCCAGTTCTGGAGCAGAACAGAGGCAGGACATGGGGAAAATGAGTTAGACATCAAGTGGCACCAAATCCAGACAGGAAATATTTACTTTGGGTCTCAGGAAAAAGTTCCATTTTCCTCTGCTGGGTTTTCTTCCATGACTGGGCTTGCTACTATGTACTTGGGTTTATTGGAATGAATCGTCTGTTGCAAAAGAGAAAACCTTGCTTTTATTCTTAGCTCTGGGGGTGATAAGGGTGTGTGTTTTCTACATCTGTTTGTCTGCTTGTACTCTGCTCTTCAGTCTGAGGCCCAGGGACAGATTTAGCTTCAGCTGGGCACCTGCCAAACATAGAGGAGGTGAGAGTTGGAGTGAGAAGTGTCTCAGAGATCGCTGGAGAGAAGATTTGGGAGTGACTGGCCCACTGTCCTGGTGTGGGTCTCCTGGGTGCATTGGGCTTTGGCCATGACCCATGGGTCCCCTGAACGACTCTGGGGATTGACATGTGGGCTTTGATCTTCTGGAAGATGGAGCCAAGTGGTCTCTGGAAAGCTTTTGTGATTTTTGTTTTATTTGGTATTACGCCCAACGGACCTTGAACCCTAGGCAAATTTGTGATGGTTGCAAACATTTTATGACACCCTACGTGAAAAGCCCCCAGTTGTGGGGGTGTTACTTCGTAAGTTTCTGGCCCTTGTTGTTTTCCTTTCTCCTCTGATGCTCTTCCTGTCCTTCTGGCCTTCCCCTTTAACCTGCCATAGCTTTGAATTGGAAGCTTCTGGCTCATGGAAGAGCTGGTGGTGGTGGTAGGAGCCGCAGTACTGCCTGTCATGACGTCAGCACCCACACTGTGGCTATTGGGGCACGTGGGCAGTGAGTCATTTTAGAGCTCAGTTTCCACAGAACCAAGATTTCAGCCTGTGAACCCTGATGGAGTCAGGTTCCGTTTGCTTGTTTTTGTACTTGAGTTCTAACCGTTATGAAACAAACGTCTCTCTAAAACATGCTTCATCCCTTGAGCCTCTTATGGTAGAGGATGCCGACCACTGTTGAACTTTGCCTTTTCCGGTGCAGGTGCGACAGCATCCGTTGGGCATGTGCGCTGCTTGGGGCTGGGGGTCGCCACGGCGGCTGCACACCCGAGGTGTGGTGTCCACCCTTAACCCGGAGGCATTGGTTCTTGTCTGTCGCAGAGTCCTCGCCTGGAGCGGCTCTTCTCCCTGCTTCTGTTGTTTGAAATCAGTCGATTGAACTTGTGAGAAGTGTGGGTAAAGACAGGCCAGCAAGGGGCACCTGGCCGGCTCTGTCGGTGGAGTGTGCAACTCTTGATCTCGGGGTCGTGCGTTCGAGCCCCATGTTGGGTGTAGAGATTACTTAAAAAAAAAAGATGTTAAAAAAAAAAAAGGCCAGCAAGTTGCTGAGAGGGAGATGGGGCCCCACGCAAGCTTGGAGTCACCCACTCTGCCTCCGGGCCTCCTTTTCCCAGAGAGCTGAGATGGGCAGAGAGGATGCTCTAGATAAGGGAGGTGCTGCTGTCACCACTTGTCACTTGTTAAATATTCTTGATTGCAAGTGTTAAGATGAAAGAGTAGAGCATTTTGTATTTCTCCAAAAACAATTGGATTCACAGTGTACTTCGGTTGTGCAAATTGGGTGCACGCACACACGCATCTCAGTAGAAGAAACTTCTGTAGTGTGACTCCCTGCTAGAATTCCCTTCCGCCTCTGAGTTTATAGCAGGCTCCCTGGTTAACACCAGCTGGGCAAGAACACTGGGCTAAGGTCAAGACTCTGTGGAGAGCCCCTGGACACATGTCGTCTTATCCCTGCCTGCCTCTCTCAGGTCTGTTCCCAGAAAGGCTGGGATTACAAGGGGTGACACCATCAGCCTAATGGGTGTGTTTTGTATCCTGTTCCCAGAGCCTGGTCAGTCCTCGTTCATCCGGGCAACACTCCCCAGCAGGCAGCGAGGCTTCATCGAGCCAGGCCTTAATGGCCGTAGGAAGTCGGGTGCGACCTCTGCTTTCCAGCTGGGGTGCTGCAAGGGGGCTTGGCCTCGGGTGTAGCTGATGCGCTCATGTGCTTATTGCAGGGAGGGTGGGGCTTGAGGTAGAGCTGAGGTTCTCCAGAAATGTGGTGAGTTGGTCTGAAGGAGGCAGCTTGGGACTATAGCTCCAGAACCAAGGGCCCTGGGCAGGGTGCACTAATGCAGGGATTATGGGTGGCGCTGTTCCTGGGAGGGGGGGTGTGCTGGCAGTCACAGCAGAGGTCTCTGGTGCTGGATGGGGGTGGCCCGGGCGCTGCCTCCCTGTGGGGTAGGTAGGAGGGCAGCCTCCCTCAGGCCCTAGGGCTGAGGGGGGCCAGGCTGGAGTGGACTTTGAGCTGGTGGTGGCGGTGGCGCTGTGAGCATGGGACCAGAGCCAGACACAGCTGTTTCCAGGCCCGCACTGACTGTCCACTCGCTTTCCTTCTCAGAGCCAACCAGACACCTGCTCAGGCAACTCAGTGAGAAAGGTGAGTGTGAGCATGGCCAGCCCTTCCTGGCAAGCTCTAGGGGAGGGGCAGGGAGGTGACACAGGTAACCCTCTGGGTGTTGAGGACAGTTTAGAGGGGACCCTGCCTCTCCCCCTCCCTGGAGGTGGGCCTCCCCCCTTGCTGTGTGGCCAGGGAGCTGAGCTCTCCCTCCTGCACACTCCTGTCCTCGGGTAACAGTCACAGTGAGCGGCACAGACCTGTGCTGCCCTGTGTCCCCCGGGGCCTCTGCTCTGTCAGTCATTCCTTTGAAAGCCCGGGAGACTGGGCGCGGGTTCTGAGAACAGGAGCCTCAGTGAAGCCTTCCCTGGGGGGCTTCTGGTCTCGTAAAGAGGCTCTTTCTCCTGCTTACCGATCTCTTCTCCCCTCCCCGCCTGTGTGTGCTGGGACCTGGCCGTGGTGGGTGCAGCCAGAGCCGCAGAAATGAAGGTAAGGCCAGTGGGCAGAGAGGACTGGCCTGACAGAGGGGGTGGGACTGCCAGGTCAGTGCCCTGGCCCCTTCGGCTCTCGTTGTCTTCGCGCGCTCGACAAATACCTTTCAGGCCCCTACTGTGTGCTCGGCCGTCACAAGAGTCACAGAGATGGATAAGCCGTGGCCCCCTGGGGATCCTTCCATACCCTTTTCCTGGAATGGTACCCTGGTGGTGGCCCAGCCTGGATCTTCTCCATTTTCTCTCTCTGGGGCAGGCAGACCTCTCTGGGTCTTGAGTTCCTGAGCAGGCACCAGCCCCAGCTTTCCCAGGTCCCAGCTTCCCACCTTGAGGACGCCCACCCTGGTCCTCCCTAGGCCCTGGTGGAGACCAGGGCTTGGGTGTTTAGGCGCAGCTTTCTCTGTGTAAAGCCTCCGTACCCCGAGCCACTGGCAGGAGGAGGGGGCTTGCCCAGAGCCTGGTCACGAGGGGGGTCTTATGCTCTGAACAGCATGCAGGCAGTGCCGGCGCTCTCCTGGACTTCGGGCGGCCTCCCTGTGCTCAGGGCCTGCAGCTGGAGGCCGAAGGGGCTGCCCGGGAGGAGGAGGAGGAGGAGGAGGTGGTGGAGGAGGAGGTGGTGGAGGAGGCCTTTCAGGTGTCTCTGGAGGACTTGGCAGGGCATGAAGGCAGCGAGAAGGGGGCCAGACTGGAGCCCCCAGGCTCGGAGGAGGAGGAGGAGGAGGAGGAGGAGGAGAGCCTGGCAGTGGCAGAGCAGGTAGCCGACTTCGCCAGCTCCCTGCTGGCCGCCCTCCACTGCTGGCACTATCGGGCCAACGCTTTACTTTTCTCCCGGGGCGCTATGGTGAGGTGTCTCTTTGATCTCCCCTCCTCCTTGCATGTTCCCTGGCGAGTGCATGCCCATCCGGGAGTTCTCTGCCCTGCCCTCCACCCCTCTGTCCTGTTCCCTCGCTCCTGCCATCAGCATCTAACCCCTTGCCCGCTGTCACGCCCTGGTGAGCCCTTGGCATGTGCTGTTCAGTACTGGGCGTGAACTAGTGTCCTACCCAGTGAGCGTGACTAACGGGGTGGGGGTGGTGGGGAAGGGGGAGAAGCCAGTGGGGCTGGAAGGGGCCAGCGGGTTGGGCTTTTCGGAGGCTGCACACCTGGCAGGGATTTCTGTATCCCCAGACCTGGCGGTTCAGGCTCAGGTCTCAGGCTGGCTCTCAATACAGCCCAGCCCCTTTAGGGCTCAGAAGGTTCGCCCATGTTGGGCTGCAGAAGGGATGAGCTCCCAGTTGTCCCAGGAGCTGATGATGGCCCTCTGCTTGCTGCAGGAGAAGGGGCACAGGGAGTCCGAAGGCCCCAAGAGCCGCAGAAGTTCCGGCGGCCGGTCTCCAACGAGCACCGAGAAGCGCATGAGCTTCGAGTCCACCTCCTCTTCCCTGCCAGAGGTGAGTGGCCGGCGGGCAGAAGGGGCCAGTGCGGCAGTGCCCAGAGCGCAGGTCTGTGGGTGGGGCTTGCTGGCACGGGCTCTCCTCTTGGGCCCATGGGGACACAGGGGTCCCCCACTCCCCTCTCCGGACTCTTAGCCCTTTAGGAAGCCTGTCTGGCCTCTGGGCATACGGTGGGGTGAGCAGGTAGCCCCTTTCTATGAATTAGAAAAAGAAACCCCTTTTTGACAAGATGCAGTCTCTTATCAAGGGCCATATTCGCAGAAGTGACCAGATTTTAGGTCCCTCCAGCCAGGCCTCCTTGTATAGGCCATAAGGCCCTGCCCCTGCCAGCTGGCCAGACATTGCACTTACGACTGTGCCTCCCTGGGTACTGACGTCTACTGGGCACTTCCTACACGTCCAGTGTTTTATTTCTTCCTTCTATTCCCTGCAACAGCTCAGGCAGAAAGAGCCTCAGAGAAGCTGAGTGACGTGCCTGGTGTCGGGCAGCTTCTGAGGGGCAGAACTGAGATCAGACCAGTCTGTGACTTAGAAGCCCGCATTCCACTTCCTGACACCCCACGCTGTCTGTGGGTGGAACCGATACCTTTGTTTTCCCAAAGTTACAAGAAAAAGTGTATGAGGCCTTGACCCCAGGGCAGACCTCACAACCCGGGCAGGTCTGAGGACCCTGACACTGGATAGGAGTCTGGGGTGGTGCTGTTCCATGATAACAGGAAGCAAGCCACATGGATAACTTTACATTTTCTAGCAGCCGTGTAAACAAATTATTTAATTATTGAATGTTAACTATAATTTCAACATGTAATCAATGGAAAAAGCTATTAATGACATTTTTTTTTTAAAGATTTTATTTATTTATTTGAGAGAGAGAGAATGAGATAGCACGAGAGGGGAGAGGGTCAGAGGGAGAAGCAGACTCCCTGCTGAGCAGGGAGCCCGATGCGGGACTTGATCCGGGACTCCGGGATCATGACCTGAGCCGAAGGCAGTCGTCCAACCAACTGAGCCACCCAGGCGTCCCGCTATTAATGACATTTTATACTTTGTATGAAGTTTTTGCAATCTGGTGTGTACCCTTCCAGCTGTTCTCAGTTTGGACTAGCCACGTTGCAGGTTCTCAGAAGCCACTTGTGGCTCGGCACAGTGCGGTGCAGGCCGCGACCATGGGTCCTGCTTTGCAGACTCTGGACTAGAACAGTTGGGGTCAGGTCTGGTTCCTCAGAATGGAGAGTGTCGCTCTTCTTCCTGAAGGCCCCTCTGGGAAGCTGCCTGTACTGGCTGGTTTCGTGGTTCAAATGACCTTCAAGGTGGTCAGGACGAGGTTCTTACATTGGCTTCCTTCCTTACCTGTCTCCTGGGCGTAGGCAAGCGTTGTGCCTAGGGCCAGAGGCTGGCTGGTAGGAGCCAAATCCCTGTCTTCACCCGCTCTGATGGGACTCTTATCATGTGGTCCTATTGCCCTCTGGAGCCTTATTTGCACAGGAGGTCGTGGCCACTCAGGGTAGTTGGGTTTGAACCCAGAAAAACCCCCATGTGGTCTCTATAGGGCTTTAGAAAGCTGCCTCTCTGTCAGGCATTCCCTGTGTTGTGTGCTCCCACTTTGTCCCTGTAGCTCCCAGGCAGGCTGTCACTGAGAGGTGCCTCCACTCTACCCCATCTGCATTCCTAGAATTTTCCTTGGGTTTTACAACCCAAGGCCACTAGCTGCATGATGACTGAGGGACATCACCACGTTCCTCTCTGTAAGGGCCTGTCTCTGCCACTCTCGAGTTGTGCTCATTCTCATTGCTTTTGGTCCTAAACTGCATAATCTCCCCCTGGGCTTTGAGCAGGCCATGCTGTCCCCCTCTCCTTTGGGTCTCATGAGGGAGGCTTTTGGCTCATAGCAGCTCTGTTATCCCAGGTTGAACCAGACCCTGAACCTGAGATGGAGCAGGAAGTATTTGCTGCCATGGAAGTTCCCAGCATTGAGGAGGTGCCCTCAGACACAGAGTCTCCAGAAGTCCTGGAAGCACAGCTTGATGCCCATCAGGAGCTGCTGGGGCTGGACCCCCCGGGTGACATGGTGGACTTCGTGGTGGCCGAGAGCACTGAGGACCTTAAGGCTCTGAGCAGTGAGGAGGAGGAGGAGGAGGAGGACATGGGGGCCACCCAGGAGACCGAGAGCCTCCTGCCGCCCTCTGTGCTGGACCAGGCCAGCATCATCGCTGAGCGCTTCGTCAGCAGCTTCTCTCGGCGGAGCAGCCTGGCACTGGAGGATGGCAAGGCCAGTGGCTTTGGGAGCCCGAGGCTGACGAGCCGGAGCAGCAGTGTGCTCAGCCTCGAGGGCAGCGAGAAGGGCCCGACCCGGCACGGCAGCACCACGGACACCCTCAGCTCACAGCCGCCCCCAGAGGTGGACAGCACTGTGGGAGTGGCTGCAGAGAGTGGCCCTTCGGTCAATGGGACGGAGCCCCCGAGTTCAGGCTGCCCAGCAGAGCCCGACAGGTCTTCCTGCAAGAAGAAGGAGTCGACCCTCTCCACCCGAGATCGGCTGTTGCTGGACAGAATCAAGAGCTACTATGAAAACGCAGAGCACCACGATGCGGGCTTTAGCATCCGGCGCCGGGAGAGCCTCTCCTATATCCCCAAGGGGCTGGTGAGAAACTCTGTTTCCAGATTCAACAGCCTTCCCAGGCCGGACCCAGAGCCTCTGGCTCCGCTGGGGCACAAGAGGCAGGTGGGCTCCCGGCCGCCTTCGTGGGCTCTGTTTGACCTCCCAGGACCTGGCCAGGCAAGTGCTGGGGAGCCAGCTCCTATCACAGATGCTGAGTTCCGGCCATCTTCAGAAATTGTGAAGATCTGGGAGGGAATGGAGTCTCCCGGGGAGAGCTATCTGCAGGGGCCCCGCCAAGGCCAGGCCAATGGTTTTGACCTGCACGAGCCGCTCTTCATCCTGGAGGAGCACGAGCTGGGGGCCATCACTGAGGAGTCGGCCACTGCCTCCCCTGAGAGCGCCTCCCCCACGGAGCGGCCCAGCCCAGCCCACCTGGCCCGGGAGCTGAAGGAGCTGGTGAAGGAGCTGAGTAGTGGTGTCCAGGGGGAGCTGGTGACTCCGCTGCACCCCCGCATCGTCCAACTCTCCCACGTGATGGACGGCCACATGAGCGAGCGAGTCAAGAACAAGGTCTACCAGCTGGCCCGCCAGTACAGCCTCCGGATCAAGAGCAAATCTGTGACAGCCAGGCCACCTCTACAGTGGGGAAAGGCAGCTCCCACTGTTCCCTGCCTGCAGGAGGAGGCCGGAGCGCCCTCAGGCGGCAAAGGTACAACTACCTGGGTGCGGAGTGGGCCGTTCCTGCAAGTCTGGGGTGGAAGAGCCTTTTAGGAGCAGGTTGGCTCCTGGGGGAAAGTGACCCCTGTAGATCCATGACCAAAGAGAGGGCTGGACTCCACACACAAGTGGTATGAGCCCTGGCGGTTAGTCTAACTACCAAGGCCAAGTGTGTGGCCCTGGTTGAGCCTCCTCACTGCCCTCCTCGAGCCCTTCCTGTGGAGCAAAGACCTTGGGAGGAAACGTGGCCATGGGCCCTCTCTTCCAGGAGACTAGAGGCTCTCATCTTTTCCTTAGACTCCTAACTCTGTTCACTGCCTTTTCTTCATTTTCTCATTGCTCTTTTTTTTAAAGATTTTATTATCTGACAGATCACAGGCAGAGGGAGGGGCAGAGGCAGAGGGAGAAGCAGGCTCCCCACTGAGCAAGGAGCCTGACGTGGGACTCGATCCCAGGAGCCCAGGATCATGACCTGAGCTGAGGGCAGACGCTTAACCAACTGAGCCACCCAGGCGCCCCCCCCCGCCCCTTGCCCTTTGATAATGGGGCCGGGGATGTTGAATGTGATTTCCCTCCCCTCACAACCAAAACCCCAGCGAGCAGCCTTGGCTGGAGCGTGAGCAGAAGGCAGGGCAGAGTCCTCATTTGCCCTCTCCCCTCCCGCCCAGCCATTCAGTCCACTTACTGTCTCTTCACAGGCAAGAGAAAGCCGGCGCTGTCCCTCCTCAGCTCTGAGCAGACGGTGGCCCAGGAGCACAGCCCGCCCAAGCCCAGCTCTCCTCGGCATTTCTCCTTCAGCCCCCCTGCTGCCAGCCCGAGGACCACCTCACCTGGGGTCCGACCCTCCTCTCGAAGCCCCCTCAGCCCCTTCGACACTGAGACCTTCAGCTGGCCTGATGTCCGAGAGCTCTGCTCCAAGTACGCCTCCCATGACGAGGCATTGCAGGCTGAGGGCATCCGGCCCCGCGGCCCGCCTGTCAGCCGCAGCCGCTCGGTGCCCGAGAACATGCTGGAGCCCCCTCTGGCGGGCAGGGTGGGCCGCTGCTGCAGTGTGGGCGCCAGGAGGGGCCGGGCGGGCCCAGAGGTTGCTGAGCCCCAGCCTCCTGGCAGGGTGCCCCACGGCAGGCCGGTCGGAGAGGAGACCCTGTACGTCACCGCAGACCTCACCCTCGATGACAACCGGCGGGTGATTGTCATGGAGAAGGGGCCCCTGCCCTGCCCCGCTGCGGGGCTGGAGGAACGCAATGGGCAGGGACCCAGCTCACCAGCAGCCACGGTGGGACAGGGCCTGGATTTCCAGGAGTCTGGAATTTCCAGGAGTCCGGAGTGTTGGCCAAAGGAAGAGGGTCCCAGGGACCCAGCGGACCCAGGCCAGCCGGGCCGAGTGAGAAACCTGAGGGAGAAATTCCAGGCCTTGAACTCCATAGGTTGACTCTGAGTCCTGGGAGAGGGAGGAGCCGTGCGGCAAGGTGGGGACGCAGAGGAACCTTGGCGTGCTTGCCCACAAGCCTGGGCGCCCCCTGCTCACGTGAGCCCCTGAAAGAATGCTCTGGTGTGCTCAGCAATGCTGGGAGTGCCCCGGTGCTCCCCGGGGCTCATGGCAATCTTCATCGGCCCAGCTGAGCCCTTGTCCCCACCGAGGCCAGTGTGCCACTTCCCTTATATATAGTTCTTCCCTAGTAAGAAGCTGAATATTAAAGCTCTCCTCTTCCAGGGAGAGCAAGCCATGCTCAGGCCTCTGGTGTTGGGCTGACCACCGCCAGGCTGAGGAGCCCACCCAGAGGAGACGTGGAAGTGGCGTGGAGAGGCTTTGCTCTTTAATTGTGCCTTTTCTTAGGATCCAGGCAGGAACAAGGCCCATAATTTATTGCTTTCCATTCTGTGGTATCTTTGTATGTGCACGTGTTTGTGAGTGTGTGTTCTTCTGTTGTTGATTCCTCTCCCATCAAGAATGTAACGGACTCGGTTCAGGTACTTTTGTAGGTTGTCTTGCTGACCCTGTGGTTGTTGCTAATGTATATACATTTCATTATTTGCCAATGGTGCAATACCCGCTGCTCACCAACCGACCTGTGTGTGGCTCCTCACTGGGCCTTGCGGGGTGGGGAGAGCTGGCCGAGGCGGGCTGTGGGGGTGGTTGCTTCCACATTCCCTCCCTCGTCATCCGTGCTCACGAAGCATAAGGCACCAGGGTGCTTGCCACGTGCAGGAGGGAACCTGTTCTCCATCCACCCCGGCCTGGCATCCTGTGCTGGTGGGGGAGCGGGGGCGGGGGGGGGCTGATGCCGTGCCAGCCTTGAGCTCTTATCCTCAAGGACCAGAGTTGGACTAAAAAAGGTGAGGAAAATGAATGGAACATTTTTCTAATGGGCAGAAATTTCCAGTGTCTGGTGCCTTTTCTCTCCCTCTCTAGTTCCCAGGAGACATTGTAGGAGACAAGGATTCTAAACTTGGAGACTAGACATGTCTTGAGGTGGCTTGCAGTGTCGTGTGAGGAGAGCCAATGCATTTTTTCTGGGATGGAGCCTCAGTTTTCATCTCATTCTGAAAGTGTCTTTTTCTCAAAAGGGCTGGGAGTGCCTGCCTATTTCTGATTGGGCTTTCTGCCCCTTCTCTGTGGTGGACCAGCCTTGTTTGGCCCTGTTCCTCCAGGCAAGTGTTCCCACAGGTCTGCTGGGTCCGGGCTCTATGAGCTTCTGATCTTGGAGGATGGACTCAACCTGAAGGCAGTTGTGCAGAGTCTAATGAGATCAGGGGAGGAGTGGAGGCCAGGGGAGGCCTCTCCTAGGCAGAAGCAGACAGGGCAGAGCTACCCGCTGTCCTCAATGTTCTGTGGCCACTTCCACCGTTGTTGAGGATAGTTGGCTCCTCCCAGGCTTGGGGTATGATGCTCAGGAGCCCTGAATGTATTGGAGCGAGAGTGAGGACACCCAGGTTCTGGTCCCAGCCCTGCCATTAGTTAGCTGGGTCACCTGAACTCTTGCTGTTTTTCCTCATCTGCAACTTGAAGAAAATAAGATGATGCACTGCTTCTCAAACTCCCTGACTCAGACTTTTCAGGGGGGTAGGGCCTGGGAAGTTGTAGTGAGCACTTTCCCCAGGTGATCCTTAACCAGCTAGGTATGCCTGGGAGCCCTGAACCAGCTCACTGGTTCTCACTTGGTACCACTGAGAGTCAGTGGAGCCTTTTGAAAAATGGTGATGCCGGTTTCATCCACCTAGACCAAAAGAAATTGCCCCCCTGGAGGTGAATCTCAGGCATGGCACTTCCAGTGATTCTGACGTCCAGTGAAGGCCAAGATCTCTGTCCAGAGCTCTGTGGGGAAGGGCTTGCCGCAGACCCTCAAGATGGTTGAATGCGTGAATGAGCAAGCTTCACTCAGGCTCTCAGGCAAGGCACACAGCTGGATACGGGTGTAAGACTCTCCAGGGACAAACCAGAGACTGGCTCTCCCTCTGTCTCCATGGTGGTCCCTCCCTGCCCTTGCTCACTCAACTACCCCTCCTTGCTCCAATTCAAGGGGAAACAAAACTAGTCAAATAAGTAACAGAGAAAGATGGAGCATTGTCGATTTATTAGAAAAACTAGTAAATGGGTTTTCTCTGGTGGTGGAAGCACGTTTGAGCAGGTGGAGGACAAGGCCCAGCTGGCCCCAGGGCCAGCGCCAGATTGTGCAGTCTATGCCCAACAGGGTTGCAGTCTGGTGGAGCTGCATCCTCCCTTGTGTCCTCCCTGAGCTTGCTTGTCAAAGCGACCAGGCCCTACGGTCCTCTGGGTCCTTGCCCCCTCCCACTAAAGGGAAGGGAGAGAGATCCAGGACCAACCTTGGGGACCCTAGTTGCCCTCCGATAGGAAAGAGAAGTGGTGTGGTGGGGATGCTGAGCCTTCCACAAGCTTCCTGTTACGGGTGCTGGTTGTGGGGGCTGGGGGGGACGCCTGAGGACCTTCCATACCCCCACCCCCCCAGTCAATCAGTTGAGGCCAGGGGATGAAGGGGAAGGAGAGAGGGAAGGAGGACCACCTGACCATGCCCAGAAGGAGCTTCCTCTAAGCTGTTCTGGGGAGGAAGCCTGTTATGCTGGTGTGGACTGGAGCTGTGTCAACCTAGTTTGGGAATACTGTTAAAAGATTGCAAAGTAGAAAATGTAAGGAGGGGAAAACCCTTGCCAGGGCGCCAGGAGCTTAGCCCCGTGTGGCTGGGCTCGTGTAGCTTCAGTGCTGTTGGTGGAGGTCTTGGGGGCCCGTGTGATGTGGGCGGGATGCCTGGGGCACTGGCAATAGCTGGTGGGTCACATGCAGCTGGCTGCCATTGCCCAGTCTGGGGGACCTGGGGCGGTGAAATCCTAACCTCTTCCTTTGGGGCCCTTTCATTCTTTGGACTATAGAGTTACTTGCTGGAAATTTCTCACCTCAGTTACTATTTTGGCACACATAGAATGGAGAGGGGGGGGCCCCTTGTCTCCCTAAAGACTGGTCCGGGGGAAAGAGTTGAGGAAGATTCTTGCCTCTACCTGCTCTTCAGTAAGGAGCGTGCTATTTGCCTCGGAGCAGGACATGCCCTCAGATGCACCAGAGGCCTTCTTCATTGCCAGGTGAGTGTGGTCACCTCACTGCCTCCTGCCTTGGTTTCCCCAGGTGGAGAAAGAGGCTGGTGAATGGTATATACTAGCTTCCCTGTAGATGCAAAGAGGGATGTAGGATTAGATGCATAGAGGCCAAGTGAAGACCCTGGCTACAAAGTGGGCCCGCCCAATCTGGGGATGTCAGGCTCTGTTGGAGAACTTGCCTCCTGCTGTTCTTGTCTGAAGTTAGCTACCCCTTGACATGGTGGCATTGATCTCTAAGCTGTGCCTGCCTCCACTAGGGGCTCCCGGGAAGGCCTGATAACTCTGGATGCCTACCCTGTGGCTGCTACCTGAACCTCCGCCCCTTCCAGAGGGATCATCATGGTGTGTCTCAGGCTCTTCATAGGGAAGGTGATGGAATAGCAGCTGTAGGCCCCAGGGACTTTTATGGTCTCTTCAGGGGGAGACACCTGCTGCCCCCAGTTTGACCCCTCTTTTGGACCTAAACCCAGCTGAGATGGAGGCTGGAGCTGTATTTGCTTTCTGAGTGGTGGGGGAGATCTTTGTTGGGACGAGTGCCCTCTTTCCTCCAGAAGTCTGACCTTACCAGCATGGGGAAGGCTATCCCTGGGGGAAATAATGTGCAGGGCTCCTTTTGGCTGTGCTTGGGGATGGGGGTGTTAGATGTTTGGTGGCCTTTGCACCCATGTGACTTCCCCAAGACCAGGACCTTCAGGAGAAGCTGAGCAAGGGGTGCTGTATCTTCATGGCCCAGGCCCCCGCCTCTGTCTCAGTTGTCCAGAGCTGGTGTGACATGGGTGGTAGTACCCAGGTGTGGTTCCGTTTGCCACCCCAGAGGGCTAGGTCATGAAATTTGCTGTCTGTCCAGCCAGTACCCTCAGGTGGTAGCAGCTACAGACAGGACACGTTGGGCCTTTGGCTTTGGGATGCTTTACTGCAGAAAGCTGGGGTAGCCATCTTCTATCTGGGGAACTGCACTATCCCTAAGGGACCCGGGGTCTGAGTTGGGGAGGCTCCCAGAGTGGAGAGGCAGAGCCTTGGGTAGTGTCAAGGTCTGTCTGCCTCCTTCACGTCTGAGCCTTATGCTGTTCTGTTGTTTTAAGAGGACCCGCTTGAGAGCTTTTACCTCCCTTTTACCACCTGTGGTGGTAGAGGGCACCGGAGGCAGCAGGAGGCCCTTGCATTGATGACCCATCAACCTTGGGAGGTGCCTCCCCCCGCTTTTTTTTTTTTTTTGGTGAGAGGAAGAGGGGGGAAGGGATGTGGTGGCCCCTGAGGTGAGAGTCCTAGTTCTGAGGAGGCCCCATGGGGAAGAGGCCCCTTGTGTCCCCGGGGCCCCCAGCAGTCCCTTGGCCAGGGCTAGAGCCCTAGGCGCCTACCTGAAGCTCCTTCCTCACGCCCCTAAGGGGCAGGTCAGGCATTTCCAGTGTCCTCTTCCCTTTCCCTGGCCGTGACCAAATGGGAGGTGGCCCCAAGCAAGACCTGCTTTGGGAGGGGGCAGCATCTGAGGAACCTCTTCTGCTCCAGCTTTTGTGGGGTCTGGGGGCTGGAGGGCCCTCAGGAAGAGAGGCAGGTGGGAGAGGAGGGTGGGTGCCTGGGACACCGTGTCCTGCCCCAGGGGCCCCTGGGCTGCACGGGGCGGAGGTGGGCATCAGCCGGCGGGCGGAGCAGGCAGGTGCAGGTGGGGGCGGGGGACGGGTGGCGGGTTGCGGGCAGGACATGCCCTGGGCGCCCCGCCAGTCCCTACACAGCCCGATCCCGCTGGCAGGGCGCCAGAGAGGCTACTTCTTTTTGGGGAAGAAGCTGAATCTCTTCTCCTTGTCTTTCTTGCCCAGGCTGGCATCGGGGCCGGTGCTGGAGGGTAGGGGCAAGCTCTGTGCCTTGACGCGGATGCTCTGGGACTCGTTGATGGCGGTGCTCACGCCCTGCAGCCAGGACAGCATCTCCTCCTGCAGGGTGGGAGGGTCATGGGCCACCAGGGAGGGGGCTACCCCTAGGACTTCTGTTGGGAGGGAGACATCTGCCCCTCTGAGGTCTTTTGGGGTCTGGGCGAGGCCGCCCTGCACTTACCTCATCCTTGCCATGGAAGAGCCACTCACTGCCATTGCTCAGCCTAAGACAAAAGAGGGTTTCCTGTTCTGTGGCCACCTCTGGCTGGAGAGGAGCCAGAACCCAGAGCCCCCCCAGGACCAGAACCCTCACAGGCAGCACAGCACCTGCTGAGAGGTGAAAAATCTGGACTCCAAGCCTCTTTGATTTGAAAAGTCCCTGAGGGGCAACTAAGGCATGGAGCTGGTCCCCTACAAGGGACTCCCGGTCAGCCACTAATGCCAAACTGTGCAGCCAGGGAAGGGGCCCTGTGGGGAGGGGCCTCACCTCAGCTTGAAGACATGCTTCTTCTTCTTGTAGTTGGCTGCAATCTCACAGATGGCGTGTCTCAGGGCCAGGGGCTCCTCCCCATGGTAGGGCACCCCCAGTG